AACGCATTTTCAATTTTTACCCTAGTTTCACAAAATTTCGTGTTGTACAACCTCTCCGCTTCGCTTAAGTTACCATAATCCCTGAACGGTGTCAACAAATACTCTCTAAGGGGATATGCTGAATCACCCAGCAAGTAGTACTTAGGTGCACATACATTTGGCAATTCCTTTCCAATGAAGGACAGTTTCAGGACTCTTGAGTCGTGAATTTTGCTTGGAACTCTTGTAAATACGTCCAGAAAACGTAACTTTGCATCACAAATGCCTTGCAAAGTTATGGACACGCAATCGTGTCTGTTCGCGTAAGTGGAGCGTATTTTATGTCTTGGTTTTCTGCTCGAAATATAACTGCCGTCTATACAGCCCAAGACATTTGGAAAACCAGCAATCTGGAATTAAAAAAAAATATTGGCTGCAAGTTAAGTAGATTATGAAAGTGTACGTACATTTTTGAATTCATTTGCGATTGCTTCTTTTTCTTCAGTTTCGGTTGGAACCCTTATCGCTTCTGGGGCAACGTCTTTTACAAAGAAGTTCAAAACTTTGTTGAAAGTGTAGTACATGCTTGACAACGACATGTCGAAAAGATTTCCAACTTCCCTAAAAGTAGTTTTATATTTGCAGCAAACCTGATTAAAAAATATTTATATATATTAATTTTCTGTTAAATTATTTAATTTAGCCCACCATAGAAATGAAAGTATATGTGTTTCCGCAGTTGTTTGCCGTCTTCCTCCCTTATAACTCCTTACTGTGTACCACGTACTTGAGGTGTATCTTTCTACCAGGTAGTCATAAAGTCCTCGACTAATACGGCAATTTTTCTTAAACTGTAAAATGTATGTGTTAAAAAAATTAAACTTTTTATTGTAATAGCGTTATTTACCTCTGAATCAGAGTACAAAACAACCACATTTCCTATGAAGTCTTCCACTCTAGGCTGAAAGTCCCTTCCAAGCACAAGTGCATCCATTTCATCCTCAGATGAGGACGACGATGACTCTGCCAGCTCCATTACAAGTTGATTTATAGAACTTAAAACTAAATTATTCACTGCCATTTTATTTTATTAATTTAATAGGAAAATATGATACGCAAAATATTTTTATTTTTACAAGCGTAACTCTCTCACCCTCAAATTTTTTTGAGGGCAGAAAAGGCGGCACTTTCGCCGAATCAGAGCGCAAACTGCTGAGAAAAGAACACAATACCCTGGGAAAAGGCTGAGAAAAGAACATGAAAATTTGACAGCGCTAAAACAGGGCAGAATAAGTGCAGCCTTTTTGCGAGAAAAGAAAACGCTATAAGTTCGGGCGGAGCCGAACATTAAATACCCGGCGCAAGTATTAAATATATGTTTTCCACCTTTCCGAAAGCTACCGCTACATGATAAGCGGGTGTATAAATCTTAAGTAAACTAGCATCCTTAAATTTCGAAATATTGAAATTTCAAGCATTACTGAAATTTACCGTTATATGAAAAGCGGCCGTAATTTTAGTCCGATTTCAATAACTTTCAACGGTTTGCTTTTATGTGGCAAGCACAATAATCATACCGAGTTTGGTACAAATTGCTAGAACTTTACCGATATACATAAATGTGATAATAAGTGGGCGGTGCCACGCCCATTTTCCAAAATTTTATCATAAGCGTATTTCCTGATAAAGAATTGTTGCAACCGTCAATTTTGAATAAATTAGCTTTAATATTTACTGATTTATCGAGGATTTCGTATATCTCGAAATTACCGTTATATGGGATGTGGGCGTGGTTATTGTCCGATTTTAAAAATTTGGTATGCTGTACCAGGGTCAACAGCTGTGCCAAGTTTGGAAGAAATTGGTGCAGCGGTTTCCAAAATATACACATGTATATAACTATAAGTGGGCGTGGCTACGCCCATTTTTCAAAAATTTTTAATATTCTTATTTCTCGTCTAAAAGTTATTCTAAATGTCAATTTTGAGTGAATTATCTTCAGTAGTTACTAAAATATCGCAGTGTTCGTATTTCTGAAAATTACCGTTATATGGGAGGTAGGCGTGGTTATTGTCCGATTTAGCCCATTTTCAATACCGTCCGTCCCACGCCCAATAGAAGTGCATGTACGAAGTTTCGTTAAGATATCTCAATTTTTACTCGAGTTATCGTGTGCACAGACGGACGGACGGACGGACAGACAGTCACCGCTTAATCGATTTCTCTTTTCATTCTGATCATTTATGTATACATTTGTCTATATCTATCTCGATTCGTTTTGCCTGTTACAAACAACCGTTATGTGAACAAAGTTATAATACCCTTTTGCACAAGTGCGATCGGGTATAAAAACAAATAACTTAAGGACGAGCACATCTAAAAGTTATACATTCTAAAAATAGAATTATTAGCAAAAACCAACAATACCAACAACCACATGATCAAGTGAATTGGAGCGGCATAGCTGCGCTTGATTTTGTTGGCATAACAAAAAAATGAAAATAGTGGAAAAAAGCAAACGATAATTTACAAGGCGTACTTAGCACGGTGCATAGGCAACTGGCTGAGGCAGTGGGATCGTCGTTTCGAAGCCTACTGAAAGAAGTCTGATGAGGAAATGTGGTGATTTCCGAAATAGCTATCACTTCTACCATTTTTCCAAATTATTGTTGCTTTTCACAATAAATATTCATAAAAAACGGCCTCGAGCTCAATAAAAATAGTTGAATATAAGTGGTATAATAATTTTAAAGCAGTGAAGAGAAAGCAATAATAGCTTTAGCCCACAAGAAACGGCTCAGAAGGTAAATAAACTGAACGAGAGTGTTTTTTTGGGGTAGAGGGGGTGAACTCCCCTACATTAACCTCTACGACGCAAAACTAAAAAGAAACTTAAATGCTCTTGTCGACATAGGAGCGGCTTCTTCCTATATAAGGCAGGGCAGGCAGTGAACGGTTTTTCCATAATTAAATACTACCATTTGATAACCATATTTGGAGTCCACCAAGTTTTCTATAAAATGGAAAACTTGGCATCCGTTCTCCTTTTGGGGCATAATTTATTGAAAAATGTTTACGCGCGTATCGATGTGCACAATGAGACAATTTTTTATAAAATAAAAAGTCATACCAAAAG